TGACAATACGCAGTGACGTTGGGCACAGAATAAGAAGCAGCTTCCAATTGAATCTAAAGCTTAGCAACAACTGCTTGTCATGTTCGGAAAGTCATCAGCTCAACAGTTGTTGAATCTGAAAAATGAGCATCTTGCTGTGATCAAGCACTCACTATGTGAATGATACTCCTCTAGAATGAATAGATACAAGACAAACTCATATCAACAACTCTCACACATATCATTAAAACACCTGAATGCCTCAGATAAAATGGATGAAATGAATGTGCAGAAACTGATGAAAGTGGGACTTACTAGAGTCAGCATATTTTATTAATGAATGATAATTGGTATACTGACAATATAAATGGTAACTTAGCTACCTTGAATTGCAAACATACATGTATTTTTTTGGAAAAATGCATATTGTGTACTAGCTGGCTTCTCATAATTATGTGAACTGCACCTCTGCTGTAACTTACTTTCATTTTCCATTAAAAACAATACTCAAGTCAGTGAGAAGCATATTGTTGGCTCAGTCCTGGGTCACTGATTTTGATGCATGTCATGACTTAGCCTTGGATAAAGGATATTATTTCAGACGACAAAACTTTGGAGGTGCACACACAGTGAGCAAAATAATAACAGACTTCAAGAGGACCTGACGGAAAGAGTAGTCACAGCAGTTGGAATACAGTGTAGAGAAGTTTGAAGCAATACCTTTTGTTAGGTGTAATTTAAAAACTTAAATGGTATAATTTTAAAGGGAGTGCAAGAATAGAGAAACTTAATTGTGCTTGTGCAGAGACCTTTGAAGGTGGCAGTACAAGTAACAAAACATTTAAAACATATGGGCTCCAAACACAAGTAAATGGGACTAGTTCAGTATAGGATACCTGAACAGCATTGATGATATGGGCGGAAGGACCTGTTTCCGTTCTGTATGACTCTATGACTCTCTAACAGGGGCATAACATAGTAAAGCTATAAAGTTATGTGAAGCCCAATTAAAATACCACTTCAGCTTCAGTTGGAATAGTGCATCCAATTCTCTGCACTTTTTAAAATGCCACTTCAGCTTCAGCTGGAATAGTGCATCCAATTCTCTGCTCTTTTTTAGGAAGGCTTCAGAGATTTACTGGAGTGATTCCAGGGATGAGGAGTTACAAATATGTGTTCTCCGTGGAGGTGTTTAAAATGATGAAGTATCTCAATAAAGTAAATAAAGAAAAACACTTGTTAATGTCCTAACATTAGAATAGATAATCAGCGGGCACAGATTTAGAGATCAATAAAAAGAAGCAGTAACATAGGGTAAAATGACCTTATTCATTAATTAATTAGAATTTGGAATGCACCGCCTGATAGGACATAGTTTATGTAGTAGCTTTCAAGATCGAATGGAATAAATATTTGAAAGAGAAAAGCAATCTGCAGCGATATGGGGAAGGTGTAAAGAATAGGATTTCACAAGGGTTTGCACAGACTTATTGAGCTATATGGTCCCCTTTCTAAACTGTACTAATAAGATGACTCTGCAATAATCAGCTTCGAGTTAGGACAACTTTGTAATTCCAAGAAATGTCATCCTAGCAACCCAGCAGTGATAGTAAATCTAAAAGACAAGTAAGTGTCTTGCTCTGATCAAGCACTTGCAACAGGAACAACACACTCTCTGCAGGAAGGAACATCACCTCAGGAGCTGGCAGCTACCAGAAAAATTGACAATAACAACGTGCACACATGTCATTAAAAGACCTGAATGCTAAATTTTTCCAAATCTAGTAACTCCTTCAATAGACAACCTAGGAATAGAGTACAAAACTAAATGGCAGGCAGATTAAAGGTGTAGAACAAATCTTGATGCCAAATAAAATTTATCAGAAAACTCCATAATTTCATGGCTGATTTCATGACAAAAACCTGATATTTTTGTATCCAATTTATATTTTATAAATTTTTATACAGCCCACTTGGAGAAACAGAACCGACCAGTCCAAAATCAGATGGGCAGCAATTCATTTAATGGCAGAATGATCAGATTTGCATTAATTGAAGCATTTCTAGCAGAGAGAGACATCTAAGAACTGAGGGAAAGGAAGTTGCATTCTGGCATTTCATATGCAAGGTGTTAAATTTTGATGCTACTTTTCCTAAACCTAGAAAGCATATCAGATGAAACCATGGAAACAGGTATATAAGATCAGTTTTGCTTTTATCCATTATTTATCACTTATATCTCTCTCAGAGTCCTGGTCTGAATGACACCAGTGTTTCCTTTCTTGGTCATTTGTGAAATATGTTTGCAGAATGTCCTCACTATTGACAATTGCTTGAGTCTATAGCACAAAACTGATGTTTAAAACTTCCTAATTCTACTAAAGTAAGTCTTAGAAACAGCTTGTATGGTTAACAGAAGATTCAAATTCATACATTAAAGTATGTTCTTTGGAAGTTGGGGTTAATGAACCTTGTTGGGCCAGAGTACCTCATTGTACAATACTAGACTGGGAGTTCTTCAAAGCATCAACAAAGGCAAAATGCAGCAGATGCTGGAGATCAATAAAAAACAGAAAGTGCTGGAGAAACTTGGCTGGTCTGGCAGCATCTGAAGAGAGACCAAAGGTGTTAATATTTTGAGTTGAAAATGAGACTTTTCAGGGACTGAAGAGAGAGAGAGCTGGAAAAAGGTTGGGAAGAACAAATGGAATAGAAGGAAAGGTCAGGGCAAGGTTTGAGAACAAAAGAGGTTGGGATCACAGGTGTTATCTACCAGAAGGCAAAGGGAATGGGAATGTTTGTGGAAAAGACATAGGCTCAGTGTAGGAATTAGTAGCCAGAGTTAGTGAGAATATAGTCAGCTCTGCTGAAAGCAAAACCAGACATTACGGGTAGTGGGAC